TTCTGAATAGCTGCAACAAGGGAATCGATATCAGGATCAATATTGCTTAGTTTCATTCGTAGATTTGGATCAAGATTAAGCCTACTGCGAAATTTATTTTTTACTTGTAGCATAGCAGAAAATCCAGTTTCACACAGGTAGGTGGTCGTAAAAGGAAGTAAAAATAACAATGGTTTTTTTCATAAGGCTGAATATTCATTTTTAATATTTAGCCAGAATTCGGCCAATTCTAATTTTGAAAACTCAATTTTCAAACCCCCATCACAAGATAGTTCTATTAAGGACTATTTTTCATCCGGTTTAAATTTTTCAGGAATGCTATCCAAAATAAATGGTTGTCGTATCCAAAGAAACTGAGCATAGTCTTCGTCAAAATATTCTTTAAAACTATCAATTAGCATTTGACAATGCTGCTTTATGTTGAAAATGAGATCATTTTTTATCTTTATTTTATGCTCAACCACAAAATTTTCTAAATTGGTAAACGACTGTAAGTCTTTGTTTGAAACACTATTTTTCATCATATGACATTTCTTGATAAAAGCCTTTATTTTGTCATTTACAGAAAATCGATTATTTATTTGATTTACCTTGTAAGCTTAAGTTCAGGTCATTTAATTGATTAAATATGTCTGTTAAGTAAGCTAGTGTTGTGAGCCACAATTCATCTATCAACCGATCACGCAGTTCAAATTTGGATTCCATTAAAAATACATGGACTTCAGAATGCAACTCGAATAACCTGTTCAACATTTTTCCTTTTGAAAGCCATCTTACCTCTGTGTGTAGTAATAACTGAATATGATCACTTCCCATTTGAGAGCATAGTTTTGAAAATATTCGCGAGTTTAAGGCTCGAGATTTTATGAAATTGACTATCTTAATGGCTTCATGGAGAACATGTTTAAATTGATCGGGCATTCGCTTTGCTACCGAAGCTTCTCTGTGGATACTGCAATGGGTAAAAGTACAATTTTCTGCAACCAGTGCAATATTTCATCAGCAGTAGTTCGTTCCGTTAACTTCGATTTTCGTTTGAAATATATATCGCACATAAACCACAAGCTGAGCATAGTTTGTTATATCTGTGCTCTCATCAAGTTGTATTGCAAAAAAAAAATACTATTTTTTATCCGGTCTACCAATTTTTCTTTAACATTTAATGCCATTATTTCAACCCTACGACGTATGGTATCATTGGATAATGGTACAATATTAAGCTGTTTAGCTGAATTATCACCAAAGATACATTTTACCATATCTTTTGCGGCAGGTAGAACTAGTTCTTCATCGATGGTATGTGCTTTTCCACACTTCGCAATTCTTAAACTCACGAGGAAGGATGCCTCTACTGCTTTTTGGTTGCTGCCGGTGAAATTCGACATTAATTTTTTTGTGCCTCTCATCTCTGTTAACTTCCGAACGGAGTAATCCCTAGGTTTATTTTCTAATACTGAATGTTTTGTATTAAAGTGGCGTTTTAATAGCGAAGGTTTCATGCACTGGTTAGAAAGAATTTCTAAACAGATTACACATTGGGGCCTTGGCTCATCATTTATATTCGTGAATGTAAATCCCATATTAGTGTATTCAGGATCATATTTCCTAATCGCTACTTTTAGTTTTTTGAAAGAACTGTTTTTGTCATCACCCTGTATAGGCTCCGACTCTGAAGTGGAGCTCGATGGTCCGGGATTTTCAGATGTTCTTCTGTCTCTTTCAAGCCACTTATCCATTTTTCATAAGCAAAAATTCGCACGAATCAGTAACAGCAAATCACTTGTATCGTCCAAACCAACCACAACGACCGACGGCCACGAGGAAACTGATGACGTGAATCAAGGGCGGCGGCAGTTTGCCGCAATTTCAGTGTTGCCAACAATGAATAAGACATTACGCGCTTGCGGTTTCAAACTCACAGCGCTGCTATGCACAACGTAAAAGATAACATTTGTGAATAAATTTTATTAAAATCAAGTTTATAGAGTACCACCTTTAAGTGCTTTGCGCGGTGGTACGCGTATCACAGTTTGAGAATCGCTGGTCTAAGCCCATAGAAACAAAAGTGCGTGGAAAAAGTGAAATAAAATTCGCGAGTGCCGTGAAAAGAACGCGTATGACGACTTAGCAACGGTAGTTGTGTATTGAGGAGATTGTTTTTTGGCAAGATTTTGGTGAATTGAGTATTTTGTACCGGCATTAATAAAATCATCAAATTGTAAAGAAAAATTACAAAAACTAAGTAAAATCCAAGTTATATCCTCTCAAGTAAGGTTCACTATAGCAGGGTAGTAAAATTTCACCTGATGAGCAGATCCAGAGAAGAAAATCCTGGTTGAAAATATTATCCTTACAGGCAATTCACATTGAAAGAGAGTTTCTGGTTTGCATTGACTTCATTCACACCCCAAGGAGGGGGTGAAGCGCCCAAAGCACTTTCTGGTAGAACTCTAGTCGCAGCATACTGGTTATTCGTTGTGCTCATGCTCGCAACATTCACAGCAAATTTGGCTGCTTTTCTAACAGTAGAGCGAATGCAGGTGAGTCTGTCAACCGCGTTGTTTCAGTTTTGTTTGAAATGATTTAAATATGTGTCTTGACAATTTTGTATTTTTTTAATATTTCAAATTACTTTTCAGGCACCTGTACAATCTCTTGAACAGTTAGCTAGGCAATCAAGAATAAATTATACCGTGGTCAAAAATTCTGATACTCATAAATATTTCATCAATATGAAGTATGCCGAAGACACACTTTACAGGAAAGTATATAAATATAACTCCTAGTGACAAAAATATTTCTTATTGTAGTTAGAGTTGAAAAAATTCAGGAATTTTCCCCAATTTACTCCAAACATATCGGCAATATTGCTTTCTTCTGGGGTATTCAATTGGAACTAAGTGACAAAATAGGTGAATTATCAATGCTTATGGTACAACAATTCGCAAAGTATGGTATAAAAATTCGCGAATGATTTGTTGCTCCCTATCTGTATGGATAGGCAAAACCGTATACTTGTGAAAATTTTGGTTGAATCGAGCATATTTCTGCACGGGCCTGTATGTAACAGCTAGATCGAAAACCAGTTCCAACTTTTAACATCAGCAATGAAGAACGAAGAGCCCTGAACGGGCTACGTAGAGACACCACCATCAAGATCTTACCTGCAGATGAGGGAAACGCTACTGTTGTGATAAATACTGATCTCTACGAACAGAAGATCGAAGAGGTGCTCCAGGAAGGAAAATACACGAAGATCGTAAGAGACTCTACTGCATCAATTGAAAGGAAGTTGTACCAGACTTTGAGAAAACACCAAGTCTATTGTACGGAAAAAAAAGATCATCGCTAACACCGCAACACAGTAAGCCCCCTCACTTTTATGGATGTTCCGCTCACACCGATCATTATCTCCAGAGATTCAGCCACTCATAACTTGTCCAGATTTTTACTACCAATAATTAAACCACTGCAAGGTAGAACATCATCTTTTGTGAAGAATTCGAGGCATTCCGTTGAACTACTAGGGAAAATCGAAGTCAAAGAGCAGGATCAACTGATCAGTTTCGACGTAAAAAGCCTCTAAACCAACGTTCCTGTCGAAGAAGCACTTCAAATCATACAGAAGAAGCTATTCGAAGATGGGGACCTGAAAGATAGAACAATACAAGTAATCATGAAATTACTAGGATGATGTGTACGAAACTGCTACTTCCAACTGAAAGACGAATTATTTACGCAAGATGAGGGACTGCCAATGGGATCGCCACTTTCACCTGTTATAGGCAATATATATGTATGGAGCGGTTTGAAACTATGGCCATTGAAGAAGCCCACAAGAAGCCTTGAGTCTGGTTGAGATAGGTAGACGACACCTTCATAATATGGAATCATGAGAATGCAGAACTAGACACTTTTCTGAAGCACATCAACAACGTAAGTCCTTCCATCACTTTCACAATGGAGAAGAAAGTTCACAACGAATTGCCTTTCTTAGATGTATTGGTGAAGAGGAACGACACTAAATATGAAATATCTGTATATCGGTAACCCACTCACACAGGACAGTATCTGAACCAGAAATCCAACCACCATCAATCGACTACGAGAGGAATCATCAATACTCTAATAGACCGTGCTTTTGGGCTCTGTAATACAAAAGAAGGTCTCAAAAAGGAACTAGGCATCATCAAAAATGACTTACAACGGAATAGTTAGTCCAGAGTGATGGTAGAACAGGCCTTAGCTAGAGGACAGCAAAAACTCCACAAGGAAGAGAAGCCGCCACAACCAGTACTTGTACTTCTCTACATCAGAGGATTATCGGGAAGGATAAGAAGGATTGGGTCCAAATATAACATCACGACCTACTTCAAATCTGGAAACACTATTCGTAGCAGCCTCACGAAAACCAGTCCACCAAACGCGGACTGCTATTGCAAGAATTGCATTTACCGGATACCCTGCAAGTGCGGAGAATCATACATCGGTGAAACTAAGAGGCCATTGGAAGTTTGCTTTGCTGAGCACAAGAAACACACACAGCGAGGAGAAACCAGCGAATCCGTAATAGCAGAGCATGTTTGGACTCATCAATATACCATCAATATACCATCCACAAAGGGGAACTCTGGTTTGGGAGAAAATTCAAAGAAGCCGCGTATATGTTGTCCAACAACGCATTTAGTCGAACTAGCGCAGTGATACGTGGCATATGAAAACCTCTAATCAAGCGAAAAACGACCAACTCCCGCCAAACGTTTATCTCCCGCTAAAACCAAAGAAGCGGAGAGAGGAAAGAGGGGATAGGTGAAAGCACTGACCTATAAATAGTCAGATCTCGTCAGTTATCACCCGAAGACGATTGTGGATACTAACAATTGAAACGTCGTGACATAACTTGGTTTGAAACATGGCTGAATAATCCTTCAACAGCTACAGATTACGGATAGGAAAAAACAGAGACTCTGTTTGTGCCAATGAAAACAACAGAACCATTGGCAGCTTCAGAATTACTGAAACCAGTTCATTGTAATGGCACAGTATCTAACTGCAGTTAGTGCAGTTAGCAGATGAAGTGCACCCGATTATACAAGGGGTGCAGAGGTGAAAGTTACACTAATGCCTCAGATCTCGTTGATTATACTAATGACATCGAAGAAGATGACAACTGTTGTGATGATGACAATACAGAGGGGTGCAGAGGTGAAAGTTACATTAATGCCTCAGATCTCGTTGAATATACTAATGATATCGGTGAAGGTGACAACTGTTGTGATGATGACAGTACCAACTTCAAGTATGGGATGATCGTCGACCAACAAAATACTAGCCGTACAGTATATCGAAAAATCATTCAGGCAGTCTACGGGTCAGACTCATATACTAACTCTGACAAAAAAAGCCGAAAAGCAAGAAGAAATATTGGAAAATCAGGAAAATATAGGAGAATTAGAAGAACAAGAAGAAAACAAAGGAAACGAAACTGAAAATCCAACGTTTCCAGTAGAAGAACGGCTGGTTCAGTTCAAGTTTGAATGAACCAAGTTATTCTCAAGTCTCTCCCTCTCCCCCCCCAAAATAAGAAAATGCATTATATAATGAAATACTGTTTTTATTATTATTTAAACTTTCATTATTCATTTCGATTTTTGTAGTTCATATGAAATTAATTTCTTCATTAATCATACTTGGAAGTATACCAATGATTACTATTTGAACCTTACAATATTATTAGAAACAATAAAATGATTTATAACAATAATTTGTGATTCAAATCAATTGTAAATGGAAGTATTACAAGAATAGCCGAATGATAATGAAGAATGATATTAAAGTAAGATATAAGGAACACATAGCACACTTAAAATATGGAAGACCTGAAAAATCAGCAGTCGCCCATCATATTTTGCAACAAAACAAAACCATTCCATAGACTTCAGTTCATTAAGATTAGTTAGACAAGTTAACAACAACAGGCAACTAGATGCCTATGAGAGTGTAGAAATAAGTAAACACAATAATATTATGAATAACGATGACGGACCTATACCAAAGAGCATACTATATAGCTTGTTAAAATAAAATAAATTATTGTTGTTGGGTTTACTGATTACTACATAAGGACACATTGCAATAATAAATTTGAATAGGCAATATTGTGAAATTAATTTTATATAGCTGAAAATTGTTTCATATAAACATATATTGTAGAATAATAGATAGGGCAAAATTGTAGAATTAATTTAGGTTGGTATACCTGTATGATTGGTACGCCTGGATGGTTCACCTATATGGGTTACCTTTATAGCATAAATAGGATTAGCTCGCACTAGTTCTTAGTTTCAATCTTCCTCTTTGAAGATGATCATTTGGTGATCGAAACATGTGTCGAGGTGTTGAAAATAACGATTTGGTGTTAGGAAAAAACTCCAGTAATATTTATTTGAGATACGACACTTCACATTTTTTTGTTTCCCTTTTGATAATAAATAAATAACATTCAAAACAAATGTTATAAAATGTTTAAAAAAAACATCGAAACCTCATTTATACTACTTTTCAACTCAATTATTTCTTAAATCATTGATAAAAAAATATTATTTTTCATTTTGTAATCTAAAGTCCTCAATTAACTACAAGTAATTATAAGATAAAGTTTAATTTTTATAATTTCATTAATTCATTACAGATTTAGAATTGACAATTTTTATTTGCTTCCTTTGTTTTTTCTTGATAATATCTTTGATCTATTTTTCGGTGGTGACTCGCAATCTTCAGTATCTTTTTCAATTTCTCTTTCTTCCACTTCATTCTCTTGTATTCCGGTTGGCATTTCTTCATCTTGTACATACTCAAATAGTTTATGAGTTATAAAGATTTGAAAGCCATAAAAACAGAATAAGGGGAAATTTTAGTAAACAATTGTCAAACAAGTTGTTGAATGATAGGGTTAGAGCATTTTTTTTAAATCTTATTTGTTCATTACTAAAAGGAGAACAAAAAAGACTGTGAGTGTATTTGTCCTAACTCCATTAGTTTATGAGTTATTTCAATAACGATGATTGAGAACCATGAGAAATTGCCAAGCACAAAAATAAAGAATATATTGAAAAAAATTGTAAAAAATTGAGAAATCATAATATTCATAATAATCATCAATATATTGAGTTTTATCTTCCTCTAGAAGATGATCACTTGGTGATCGAAACATGTATCGAGGTGTAAAAATAACGATTTGGTGTTGGGAAAAAACTCCAGTAATATTCATTACTACAGCAAAGGTTCCAAACAGTACATCATAAAAACTGATAGATTTGTTTATATCAATTTTTTAAACAAATAGAGATGAAAATTATCAAAATCACTTTCATGGAACTTTAAATAATAAGGATACGAATAGATTTGATAAAAAAAATTCATTTCTTTGATTGAATTTTTCACTTTTCAACGTCTTTGATTATCCCCTCAATCTTTTTTACTAAATTGTTTATAACTTTTGCAATTCAATTTTTTCTAGCCCCTCTTGAACTTTTTCAAGAAGTTGCTAGAGATCATTCCGAATTGAATGCGCCCTGGATCAAAATTTTCGATGCCCTTGGACAGAAGTTCCAAAAAAATCTTGTGACCCAGACTATGACAAGCCTTGAGGCCTTCTAGATATAAAGAAATTGATATTTCCTTTTAGGGATCCCTGTATAGTATGTATCAGTCAAACGAAATAAGTTTGGCACTAAATAAATATGAGTGTGTTAACATAACGTGCAGGCACGTCGAATAGAATTTTCAGTTGTGCATTTTTCAACAACCACATTTTTCAATGCGCAATAACTCAGTTAACGGAAACAACAACTCCAACACCAACTGCACTGCGACCGTTGCCACATCGCTTTTGATAATGTCTACAGTAGCTGTCTAAGGCCGTTTGAGGACATCCCCCCACCATTTGACCTTGTCCTTGAATGACGTCATATGACCTTCAGTTACGTGTAAGATGATATGACCTTGATCATGGGTGTCGACCTTGAGATTTTGAGTCTGTTCCTCAATATATGGCCTTGAAGTTTGGTCTTGAAAGATGAGGTTCAACTTTGGAGTCCATCTTACGACCTTGATATACATGCATGTCATATAACCTTGAACATGTAGTGGTGGGGGGAAATACTTTTAACGGGAGTGCGATGTGAATGTTTCACTCAGTTCGCATTCTCCTTCTAATCTTGTGGTCCATATAATTTCATACAAAATGTATATGTGCAACGAATGTGGAAAAAATTTCACACAGTGAAATTTTTTCCACATCAGCGCGATTCCTGTACGTTGATGAATTATGGAGGACCATCAACTGAGAATGATGGAGAAGCATCAACTCCGAAGAGGATAAGGTTAAACCCCCAGCACCTCCGGTAATGCAGACATGCCAGTGCGGCAATTTGATAATTTTAAGTGATCAGTAGATCGTAGTGATCGTAGAACTTTGCAGCATAGAACGAATGCATGTGTGCATTATGGGGATGGTGTTAAAATTGTAGGCACAGCATTCAAGTGTAGAATTGTGAGCTATAGGGTGGATAGTCAAAATCACCATATGGATTACTTCAATGAATTGAAGCAGAAAGTGTTGAAACTACTGGAAGAAGTGTTGTAAGGATTTATCGAGACTAGTATCATCCCAAATATCTACACACCACCACAAAAAGTATTTTTGTGATGGTTGTTTATTGTACTTTAGTGATGAGCGGGCTTTATTGCGACACCAGTTAAATTATTGTAATCACATTTCAACAACAACACCGAACAATAATTTAAGAATTGACAAATTTGGTAAAAATGTATATGAAAATATTTTGAAATTTGAAAATGTTGAAAAACAATTGAAAGTTCCATTCGTTGTGTATGATGATTTTGAATCTATTCTGAAACCAGAGCATACAAATGAACCAAATCCTGCACACTCTTTCACAAATAAAACTTATCTTCTTGAACCATATGCTTTCTCATATATCATAAAGTGCTCTTTTGATGATTCAATCTCCAAATTTGTATTATATAGAGGTGCTGATGCAGGTAAAGTGTTTGTTTCAAACTTGGAGGCTGACGTAACCAATATATATCACAAATATTTGAAAAGTGTGGTTCCGATGAGTCCTTTGACTGCTGAGGAAAAGCATGACTTCAATATTGCCACTACATGTGGAATATGTGGATATAAATTTGAAGAGGGTGATATTAAAGTGCGTGATCACTGCCATCTAACGGGGAAAACGAAATGGAGCTACTCATTCCATTTGTAATCTCAATTTCAAATTGCCCGAATTCATTCCAATCATTTTCCATAATCTCAGCGGGTATGACTGCCACTTATTCATAAAGGAGTTATGTACCGATAAAAATAAAGTTGATGTCATCGCTCAAACTAAAGAGAAATATGTTTCTTTCACGAAACATCTATTCATGGAAAATAAATTGTATCGAAATGGTCAAATAAAAAAAAATATTTGATATTGAGATTCGTGGATAGCTTCAAATTTTTGGCTGCATCTCTACAAGAGTTAGGTGATAATTTGGATGAAAAATATTTTGTTGTAACTAGAAAATATTTTCCAGAAAATGATAAATTTCAGCTAATGAGGCAGAAAGGTGTTTTTCCTTATAACTTTATCGATTGTCTGGATAAATTGAATTATTCAAGTATACCATCGAAGTTGGACTTTTATGATAAACTGAATGAGAAGCATATTTCTGATGAGGATTATGATAGAGTGAAACAGGTATGGGGCATGTTCAATTGTCGAGATTTAGGTGATTATTCTGACATTTACTTGAAATCCGATGTTCTGTTGTTGTGTGATATTTATGAAAATTTCAGAAATATGAGTTTGGGTACATACAAATTGGATCCTGCTCATTATTTCACATATCCAGGTCTATCTTGGGATGCTATGTTGAAGTTTACAGGTGTCGAGTTAGAATTACTAACTGAATAGTGCTTTTTTTCCAAAATGGTATACGTGGCGATGTTAGCCAATGTTCGGAAAGGAAGCATATTACAAATAATCAATTTCTTCCAAATTATAATCCCAACGAACCTTCATCTTTCATAATGTATTTGGATGCAACCAATCTATATGGCCATAGTACGTGTCAATCACTACCTATTGACGGATTCACTTGGTTGACTACCGATGAAATAAGTCAGCTAGATATCAATAGCATCCCAGATGATGGCTTTCAAGGATACATTCTTGAAGTAGATGCGCACCATCCTATAGAATTGCACGATTTACATTCAGATTTGTCATTTTCGGTGGAGAGCATTATACCACCTGGTTCAAAGTCTGAAATACCCAAACTCATACCGAATTTGAATGATAAAAAAAATATATTGTTCACTATAGAAATTTGAAACAGGCGATTCGTAATGGTTTGATGGTGATGAGAAGTAATAGAATTCTCAGATTCAATCAATCACCATGGTTGAAGAAATATATTGATTTGAATACAACCCTAAGAAATAATGCCAAAAATAAGTTTGAGGAAAATTATTTCAAACTGAACGTGAATTCCATATATGGTAAAACAATGGAGAATGTTAATAATAGAAGAGACATTCGCATTGTTACACATTGGGAATCTATAAGAAGAGGTATGGGTGCCAACGCTCTTATAGCTCGTCCCAATTTCAAAACATTATCTATATTTTCGGAAGACTTTGTCGCCATTCATATGAGTAGAGTGAAGGTTTGCTACAATAAACCGTTATATCTGGGATTTTGTATATTGGATATGTCTGAAACTGTTATCTACGACTTTTTCTATGACGTCATCAAAAAGCATTACGGATCTCAAGCTTCTCTTCTATATACCGATACGGATTCTTCGATATTGAAAATAATGACTGATAATTTCTATGATTTCATGAGTGAGAACATTGATAAATTCGACACTTCCAACTATGTGATGGATAATAAATTCAATGTGCCAGTAAGGAAGTCGATGCTTGGAAAGATGAAGGATGAACTTCCGAATGATCCCATCATTAGTTTCCACGGCACAGGTGCCAAAGCTTATTACGTTCAAAGTGTATCGGATGAAATAAAAAAGGCAAAAGTTATCAAAAAATCCGTTATAAGGAATCAAATACCAGTTGATGATTACATAAAGATTGTTGAAACAGGTGGTACAATATTGCGAAAAATGAATATATTTTGAAGTGATTTACATGAAATATATACATTGATGTGCAATAAAGTTGCTCTATCACATAAAGATGATGAAAGGTTCATAATACCTAATACCACCAAGACATTACCTTGGGGACATAACGACATTGAGTTTTATCAAACATGCCTCAATCAGAATTTCAAAATTCTTTTGGAAGTGTTGAAGGATGAAAGCAATGTCGGAAATGGAAAATTAGATCTACTCATTAAATTATTGGAAGAGCAATTGACTAATTGAATATTAAAAATATATATACCGATTTTTTTATGTTCAACAATAATTGGAAAATTCATGCCAATTGAATATAGTGAATGAATGTTATCGTTCTCTCCCACTTCACCCCCACCACAACCTCCACACAGTGCACAACTGATGGTGGGGTTGTAGAGAGGGAAGTGGGTGGAGCTTATCCTTTTAAAATGCGAGAGGAGGCCAGAGTACATCATTCGCCTGCAGTAGTCCTTCGAGTGAACTTACCTCCAGTGCCCAGTCGAGCCAACCTGCTTCCAGTGGAAATTTTTTCGATTCAATGTAAGTTCATAATTTCAATAACTATATATATATATTGTATTGACTTATATTTTATTTTTTTCAGAAGCATGTCTTTCTTACGAGCTGCCCTGATGGATGGAACCATTCGTACTGAAGCCCAAGAGAGGGAGATCATGCGCAGGAAGGGGTTAATGGCTGGAACCCCGCTATCTGAAGCCCAGCTAGATGAAGCCATGCGCAGGAGGGTGGTTGTCCATCAGGACGTGGTGATCCAGCCACCTAGGACCCAGATGGCAACGATGGCTCCGACGACGACGACTTCCAATGTCAAGTCCCTCTTCCGTGATTTCAACCCAGACCAGGAAGCGGAATCAATGATGAACCTATCCATCGAGGCGGTACCGACGTCTCAGAGTTTGGAAGGGTTGTTGGAGACGTTGAATCCCAACTTGGAGAAACCACTGCCAGATCTTCTGGAATTGTCGGATGTGGAAGATGTGATGTTGGCACAGCTACCTGGTGTGTTATCCCAAATCAAAGAAGCGGATACGGGCCAACAACAAGGTGGTGAAGTCTGAAGAGCGGAGTTCCAAGAAAACGAAACCACCATCCGGGAAGTCGAAGTCGAAGCCATCAATCAGGAGGAAGGACGATAAACTGAGCGTCTTCAGAAAAAGATGTGAAAGGAACACGGCCATTAGAGCTTGACCCGTTCTTCGGAAGTATCAAAAACTGGACCATCCTCCTCTGCAGCACACGTCCACCAGGTGCAAGTGGTTGTAGATGTCCACCGGGAAGATAGTCCATCTCCTTCACCACATCAGGATGGGAGATCAATCTCACCAGTCCTTCCTGAGGAAAACATTCCTTCGCCCACTCGAGAGGTCGCTGCGGAAGGTCCTCTGTCACAGAGCACATGTGAGGACCCGGAAGTTGTTGATTCTTTTTCATACATGCGATCTATGATGGATGAATTGAGCAAGAAGCGACAGTGCCGAGGTGAGTGCGATTTCCGCCGCAGAGCCATGAGTGCAAAAATTGAAGGCATTCAAGCTCAGAAGCGGAAATTAGATAAGCAGCTGTCTCGCATTGAAGCGTATCTTCGCAAAGAAGATCAACTTGAAGGCGAGCTAGTGGCTTACATTGAGAAGTACGAGCCTCGGGTGCGGCGATGGACGGACATGATTGCCGGCTCACCAATGGATTTGTAAATATATGTAAATATGTAGTGCATGTTAATTTTAAAATATATTTAAGTTGTTTATAAAATATTTTTTCATGCTAATTTTGAGGTTGTGATTTTTTTTCATGATAAAATTGAATAAAAAATAAACAAGGAATTGAAAGGAGCGCGTATATACTTTGGTTGTTGCACACAGAATACTGCGAGGTTGTGGCAGTATTTATTCCTTTAATCTAGTCATGTTCTAGCCATATTTAGCATGTAGAAATTAATCACAGAAATAGTACAATCTATGTAAGTATTTATTTGCAATATGAGTTAGTTCAAAATAAGATCCAAATGTCAAAACAAAAATTAATCACACCTAAAAATATAACCCCTTCAATTCAAATGAAAAAAATAATGAAGTTGATTTTATCTAGGAGAAATAAACTATGTATGGTGAGACTAATGAGTTTGATTAATAATAAAGAAGCTAAAAATCTTGTCCCATCCCTCAGCATCATTCAATTCGAATATGACGTTTCCATATATGAATAATGAAAGAAATTTTCCATTAGAGTGGTTCAACAAATAGACGTTATATCATTAGTCATTAGCTCACACTAGTTGCGACTTCTGATGGTTGTCGTTTATTAGGGAGTGGCAGCTGGCTAATGAAAAAAAACAGGAAAGAATAGATAAATAATGGAAGTACCTATCATCTGAGGTTGAGTGGAAGAACAACTCAATAGCACTTGTGCTAACTAAGTTGAACTTCGCCTTTTGTCTTGATATAGATGAAGGAGTTTTTTAATCGGACATAGCACTCAAGGAAGTGGCAAACCATAGACACGTGTTTCGGGCTTTTGGCCCATCATCAGTATGGTGCAGCCAAGTGTAAGGATGGGCAACACTTGGTTACCAGAAAAAATAAATACAAATGTATTTATATGTGATATACGATATCTGGGAATAAAACTACATATCCTCAACACCTAAGGTATTGTTAACTGTGCGGTTGACAAAAATTTTTCGACCCCCGAATTAAATCAATTCGCGACCGCGAATTAAAATTATCTGCGGATAAAGTCGCGAATCCGCGGCCGCGGCAGCGAATTCGCGAATCCGCAGAATAATTTCAACGGAGTAGATGAACAAACTTGTTCCTGGCGCACTTCAAGGTCGAGCGTCGCTGGTAAGTATTTCAGAGAGAAACTTCAGTGAGTGGAAGAGAGAAAAGTGTGACGTCATCGACGCAGGATGGAACGAGTATCGTAGCGATTCAAGCATGGAACTCGAACCCCTTGCCCTCGCCCCCCTTAGTACTCCACATCACCGCTCAGGACCTCTTGAGACTCCGCATCACCCCTCGGCCCCCTTGTCACGTTCCAGTCAGTGATTTTAATTAAAAAAAGTTTATAGTTAAGAGATTCGATGGACATTGTCCTAAGCCTCTACACCAACGTAATATATTGAAGGTAACTGTGGATGTTGGGTATTTACAGCGTTAGTTTTGTCGGGACCGAAATTGACTCAATCATTATACTTGACAGCATTTTTTTTTATTTCCGTAGAATGTAATCGTCATTATCTTGTTGAAGATAGGAAAATATACTTAGATTTGGGAAATAATTATTATTTCATGTAAAAATGTGTATGTGTGTGCAAGAGCGAGAGACGCGTGTGACGTAATCGATGCAAAGAGAGATGGAGATGATATCGAGATTTACCGGTTGCTGGCGCAAGCAAGTGTTGCCCGTTGTACAATGAATCGTTGTTTATGAGGCAATGTAGCATTGCTGGTTTTGAAATTAATCATGAACGACTCGATGAAAATTGGAAGCGCGAAAGTGATATATTAATAATGATGAATCAGATTTAAGAAAAGACATTACAGATTAATGAGGCTGTATCGTTTCAAAGTGCGATCCCTCAATGTTACAAGGTATCTCAAAATACATCATTAAAAACAAACATGGCGTCGAAGTGTACAGGGTGCGTCAAAATACATCATTAAAGAAAACACATAACAGTTCCACGAGGCTGTGAGTTTTCAACTTGCGATCCCTCAATGTGTACAAAGTATCTCAAAATACATCACTGAAAAACAAATATGACGTCGAAGTGAACAGGGTGCGTCAAAATATATCATTCAAGGAAAAAAACATGTCGGTTTGAAATATGATATTAATGTGTATACAGGGCGTTTCAAAATACATCATTTGAGAAAAAAACATGTCGATTCAACAGAAGTCTAGCGTTCCAACATGTC